GTTGTTTTAGTTTCTTTCTCTCCAGGTGTGAATCAGTTTCTGGGCCTTGTTTCTGAGTTTGAAGAGATGTTACCAAAAGTGGAGAGCTGGAATGTGGGGGGAAATAAAAGGCTTTTCATGCCCAATGTTGCCCAGGGTGTTTATTGGGGATTGGATTGAGTTGAGAATTTTAGGGTAGACGGCTGGGGAGGTTTGGAGGGCTTCCTTGCTGACTCTTAAGTCTGAGATAGAGGTTGGCATAGGGCATGGGTTACTGCAGCCCTTCCCATGGTTGTAACTTGACTTTGGAAAACACTTGGTTTTGATCCCACCTCTGCCACTTTATGTCTTATTTTCTTCTTTGAAATAAAATCGTCGATTTCAGCTAGTTGATAGTCAGGTGGGTATAGTCATGGCAATGTTTTGACTTAATGCAGTATGACCTTGGGCAGGTCATGCAACTGTGAAAGGCCTCAGTTTGCTTAAGGGATTTGACAGATTGAGTTTACCCAGCAAAGATTCCTTTAACTTGGGAGCCCACGTCCAGGCTGTCTGCTTACTAATCACAGCAGTCCATTTTCCCGCCTTTTCCGCACCCAGCACCAGCCTCCTCTTACCCCTCCCAACGTCTATCCTGTACGCAGGCGCAGTTCACGAGTTCTTTCCTTCCACCCTCGCCCCTTCACTGCTTCCCCTAGCAACAAGCCTGGGCTCACCACTAAGGCGGGGCGGGCGCATGCGCCGCAGTCCTCTCTACCGCCAGTTGGACAGTGCGCGGTGCTCCTCCCCCTCCAAGCCTCTCCCTTTTGCCCGCCTCTCCTTACCCAGGGTCCGCGTGGCGGGGCGCGCGCGCACTCTGGCTCAGCGGCTGCCCATCTCTGGCCGCGGCAGTAAGGAGAGAGGGGCGGGGCTGTCTCTTTTGGGGCCCCGCCCCCTTTGGACCGGCGTTTCTACCGCGCCTGCGCGCTCCCGCCCGGTCTCCATCTTGGAATTGGGAGGAAGAGGGAGAGGGAGACCGGGACGAGACCCGGGTTGTGGTGGGGAGAGAGGCTGAGACTAAGAAGGGGACAGGGAGCGAGTGCGCCGGGACCGCCTTTAGCTGCAATCTTTCAGCCACCCTCAGGAAAGAAAAGGGGAAAGGGAGGAGGCTGGGGCAGGAGTGGGGGCTGTCACCCTCAGACCCTGACGTGAGAGGGGCCGTTTGGCCGGACGTCCTAGGGGTGGGCCCCCTGTCGGTGGCCGAAGACCTAGGGCTCAGGCCCTTCGGTCCCGAATTTCCAGGCTTGACCACTCGCTTCTCAAATACCTGGGTATCAGCCTCACAGATTCCAGATATCCAGGGCTCGGATTTCAACCTCTCTAAACCTGGGGCTCTGTTTTATAGGATTTCAAATATCTGGGGTTCAGGCCCCTACGTTCACCATTATTGGGGTTCAGTCCCCACAAGTTCAAATATCAGACTCAGCCTCCCACGTTCAAATATCTGGGGTTCAGACCCCACAATCAGAAATCCGGGATTCAGCAACTGTCGCACTCGAGGAGGAGGACTGGACCGCGAGGTCAGATCAGGTTTTCACCCCCTCCCCTCCAGGGGAGGTTTCCCGGGCCCGCCCCTCAGGAAGGGCGAAAGCTGAGGAAGAGGTGGCAAGGGGAAAGGTCTCCTTGCCCCTCTCCCTGCTTGACAGAGCCGCTGGAGGACCCCAGGAGAAGTCGGAAGCGCTGGGGCACCATAGTGACCCCTACCAGGTGAGACACGGGGTGCAGGGGCGCGGGTCCCTGTGTCTAGCATTGAGAAGAGAGGGTGTTCCTTTCTCAGAAGCTGGGCCTGGGTAGGCCCTCCCCTCGGGATGGGGAAGCCCAGCTGGGCCAGTGGTCAGCCTCTGGCTAGCCTTGCCTTGTGCTGCCACCCTCTTCCCCTTTCTCTTCCCTTCGTAATGCTGGTTGATGGGACCTCAGGTGACAGGGTCTTTAATGTCACTGGCAGTCACGCCCTAGATGCTTGAACTAACCAGATGGGTTTGTACCCTTCTGATCTCCTCTGTTCACTTTGCCCCTCACAGCTACCTCTTCATGATTATAACTCTTTTCCTGATGGCTCTGGGGCGTTGATTCCCATGCAGAGGCATGGTGGCCCCCATGGTGGGTCTGCTTATCTGTTTTTTAGGCATGGTCTGGTGAGTTTCTTGTCCTTTCAAGGAAATGTGTGTGTGCATTTGTGTTTAAGGGTGTCTGGCATTATTCCTCCCCAGCAGTGTAGATACCTTCTAGTCTCTTGTTGTGATGATTTAAATAATCTCATACATTTGTCGAGTGATCTGTCATTTACAAAGTGTACATCCATTCTCTCAATTGACCCCCTTTCCCCAGCCATTCACCCTGTGCGTGGGAGTTCTCTTTTATCACTACCTTCCCATTTTACAGTTGAGAATATTGAGGCCCTGAGAGGTTGCCCAAGGTCAGTCAGTGGCAGAATCAGAATTTGAATTGGAGTGAAATTTAAGAATGGGAGGGAGAAGAGCTTCCTTTTTAGGAGGGCTGTACTCAGAAGCTTTTCCTGATGGGAGGCTCTGGCTCTTGCCTTCTGTCTCATGGTTTTTTCTTTCCACTGTGACCTTCATCTTTACCATGATTCCCGTGTTTGGCCTGGGTTCCTGAGAGGGCTTCTTCTCCTGACAAATGATAGCCACAGTGGTGTCTCTTCACAGTTAAAGCCAACCTGCTGGGGTAGGATGATCCCCAAAGTATTAAAGCATTGTTGTGGTGACTCTGGAGGCAGGAAAGGAAAAATCCATATGCTGAGTGTCTGCATAGTGTTCCTAAGTATGGGATCCCATTAAAAATCTCACAGTAGCCCTATGCTGTAATCTGATTTACTGAAGAGAAGACCAAGTATAAGGAACTTATAGCTCTCTTGCTGTACATTGCTGATGAGATGTACTACTGGTAGTGTAGCTTAGAGATAGACACACTTGGGTTTCCTCATCTGTAAAAGAGATAACGTGGTTCATTTTAGAAGGTGGTTATGATTTAGCATAGACCTTGGCCATCGATCAAATGTTTGATGTTATTTGAGGAAGAGGCCCCATGTGATGTTCTGCTGGTATCCCTTACATGTGGCCTGGGGTCCTGGGTTGCCTTTCTTGGCTGGGTGCTGGTAAAGAGGTCAAGAAGATTCCTTTGGCAAGTTGTGAGCACCTGCCTTTGTGTGTGGGTGTGCGGTGGGGTGAGGGGTGCTCGGCAGGGTTGCTGGCAGGAGAATGGAGAAAAAAACCTGCTTTGAGCAGCCTGGAAGCTGCTGAGGGCAATCAATCAATTTCCCAGGCTATTCTGAGCCCTCTGCACCCTGGGGGCCCACTGGAGAGCAGGGCTTGCTCCTTGCCCTCCAGCTTCCAGTTGGTATGAGGAGACAAAATTAACAACACAATAGGAAACAATGCAGGACAGAATATAATTACATGCTAAATTGTAAGGCGCTTTTAAGGAGCTAGAACTCTGCCCTAGGAGTCCAGCTCTGTTGAAGGTTCATTGTGCCAGAATTCCAATAAGTACTTAGGAGTTTGGCCTGGAATCCCCTCGGGGGTCTGGGCTCTGATGTACTACAAGAGCTTTCTCTAGGTGTTTGGCTGGGTACTCTAGGAGCTTTCCCCCAGCAGTGGTCAGGGCAGGCTTCTTACAGAAGGGGACTGAGTTGGTGAGAGTGTAATGAGCACACAGGCCTAACTGGAGAGAAGTTCCTGTTCTGTGACCTTGGAGAAGTCCTCTTTCCTTTCTGTGCCCCAGTGACCTCATCTGTGCAATGATCATGATCCTGCCCTGCTTATTTCATTGGGCTGTTCTGAAAGTATAGTTGGTAGAAGACCAGCTTAGAGGAGGTCACAACCTTTCTGAGCCTGTTTCCCTTTCTGCAAAATAGTATTAATAGTAATAACTTCATAAGGTTTTAGTGAGGATTGCATGAGAGATAATGCATGTAAGGTGCTTACTATACATGCTCAGTAAATGTTATTTGTACACGGCAAATGTTCTGTACCTGTATGTGAAGCCTATGCAATTGGACTAGACAAGTAAGGCAGTCCAGATCACAAGAGAGGCCCCCAAAGCCAGATGCCATTTCTGTCATTTTCCTTCCCATTCTAGATCTCCCCGCCACAGGTTTGAGAGTGAGTCTTCTGGCCCCTCTGGGCTAGTACCCACTTCTAACAATGGCCGGATTTCCACTGCCTCCGGCCTGGCCATTTCCTGCTCTCTTAGAGTGTGAGAGGTTGAGGGAGGAGGGGGCCTCAACATCAAGGGGAACAAAAAGATGCCTGGAAATATTTGGGG